GGGCCTGGCGCGGGAGCGGCTGAGCTACTCAAAGCCTGGCAGCCGGCGGAGCCCGGGCCCGGGCCCTTCTCGGGAGTTCTGTCCTCTTTTCACCGGAAACCCGGCCCCGCCCTGAAGACCAATCTCTTCTAGCCGCGGGTCTTTGGAAGCTCCGAGCCTGCCCCCAGCGGCAACCCTTGCCCCTCTGGGACCCAACGGAGACCCTCCCTATCCTGTCCCCACTCCCCTACAGTGTCTGACCCCCTAGGTGTGCCCGCCCCAGCTTTAGAAACCAAGTCTGGGCCACTCTCGTTCTCGCCCACTCGCACCAGGCAGACCAGAGTATTTTTCACTGGGAACCCTTAGAGGAGAGCCGAGGACCCCTTCTAAGCTTGGCTTTCTCTGGAGATCAAATAACGCCTCCTCCTAACAAGAGTCCCTACCGACAAACTCTGCCCACTCTTTGGAACTGCCGGGTCACTCCTAACCTTGGTGACCATGAGTGCCTGCTGCCCTATCCTTAGACCCACCTGCACTGACCCTACCGGTGCAAAGTCTGGTTTAGCTGGGATAATCAGCCCCCTGAAGGGTCCCACCGCCAATTCGCTCCTTAAGCGTCCCCTCTCATCCCTGGCGGGTCCCTGGCGGAGGGTGAACCTATTGGGGGCGGGGGAGGGACGGGGCTGTCTGGGAAAAGGGACTAAGGGGTTTCCTTTTTCCTAATTTTGTTGCTCTTTGAAAAACTTGTAATTTATTGAGGTGATTTTGCTCAATCCAAATAAAACTTAATTTATTGAAGACATCAACGCTGGCAATCCTTCTGAGGGCGCAGAGTAAGACTAGGCTGCTTGCAAGAACCCTGACCCCGTTGCGGTTGAAGCCAGCAAGGGGCCCTCTCTCCCTTCACAGCCACCACACATTCCTAGCGCAGGGTGTTACAGACCAGGAGACTTGAGAACTAAGCAAACTAGCACTTTATGGTCGAGGTCCTGCCCCCCGCCACCACCCATAATAATAAAGTGCCCTCCCTCCCCAAACCCACACATAGAAGTTTAAATAAACCCCAGCCCGATCCTCGAGCTCTTCCTTCATTTCCGGACGGATGCCCCTGCAGAAGTTAGGGGGAGGTCCCACCTGTGGGTCAGGCTGGGGGGGGCAGCAGAAAACAGTGATGAAAGTTGGGGCCCAGATGTACACAACTATACCCCATTTGCACCCCTGGGGCTGAGAAGAGGGGTCTAGAAAAACAAGACTGCACACTGCAGGCTACAGACCTCTGCAGCCCTGGGCCAAAAAGGGAGGGGCAGGATGTCCTAATTAGGGCATTCCAAATGACTGGGCAGTGGGGAATGTGGATTCCCCAATAAATAGGCAGAAAGGTATTGCCCCACCCCCTCAGAATTTTCTAGCCAGGGGCTAGCTACTCCAGGCCTTCGTAGCAGGGGAGAGGCGCTGAGTCGCGGCTTTGCCGAGCCTCCGCTGTCACTTGCTGAGCTGCAATGTGTCCAGAAGGAGGCGCTTGTGAGCAGGGTCCTGCACCCCAGCCTCCTCCAGGTCTTCCTCTGTGATGTCACTGTGGGGGCAAGAAAGGCTAGGATCTGGGATAGAGGGTCCTAGAGGGCCCACAGCTCTACCCCCAGGGACAGACACCCACCCTATCCGGCTCTAGCCCCGCCCCCACCTGAGAAACTCCAGGTCGTCCCAGCCATTGTGCACCAGGCCCTCCTCATAGCGCTCTAAGCCGATGGCCCGCAGCCAGGCACCCATACCTGCCTCACTCAGGCCGCCGGCCCGCCCGACCTGCGGGCACGGTGCCTGATGAAATAGGGCAAGTTAAGGGGAGTACTGAGAGTGCACCCCCAGAAAAACCTTCAAGACAGCCACATTCTACCCAGGAAAGGGGGGCAAATTCTGGGGCTGATTTACGTGTCCCCCAACCCTCCAGTACTCAGCTCAGGGCAGAGGGGAAACCAGTGAGTGCTGCACAGTGGAGGGAAAAGACACTATAGTGATGGGCAGGCACACTCTTCAGGTACAGACAACCAGCCCTGGTCCACACACCTCCTCCGCTAGGTCCTCTTGGATGCTCTCCCGGATGCGGGGTGGAGGGAAGCTGAGGGGCCGGCCATAGTCGGAGGGCAGTCCACGGGGTGGCTGCAACTCCAAGGAGCTTGGGAGAAGCGCTGAGCGTCCAGGCCCAGCAGGAGCATAATCCACCTCACTTAGAGTCTTGGCCATCTGCAGTACTGAGCAGGACCGGTCATCCCCACTTGCTACCTCCCCTAGGAAAGTGCTGGCAGATGAGGGGCCTGGGGGTAGTGGGGGCCTTGGATGGGCCTTGGGAGGTGGTGGGCCGCGGCCCTCACCTCCACTGCGTCCCCGGACCCCTGGTACTGACAAAGGATCCAGGTTGGGGGTCAGGAAAATGGCTGAGTCTGGCAGTGGTGGAGGTGGAAAATCTGGAGGGGGCAGAGTACCCCCAGAGTCTTCATCTGATGAACTCCCCTCTCCCACCCGAGGGGGCCGGTGGCGTCCAAGCTGTGGAGCAGGCACTGTGATGGCAACTTTGTTCTTTGTGGTAGGTGGGACAGGAGCCCTGGCAGGTGAGGGTGGCTCCAGGGGCAGCAGCTGGTGTGGGACCCCTTCAAGGACGTAGTAGGCAGGATTATTGAAGCTGTTCTTGGGTGCGGGGGCCACCACCCCTTCCAGCTCAGGAGCCCCCTCTGGCTTCAACCTGGGTTTAGGAGCAGGATAACTTAGTCAGGACCCAGAAACCCAATGGTGCCATGGGGGAACTGGCAAAAGATGACGAAGGACATTGAGCATATCACCCTCTACTGCCCTGGGTTTCATCATCTCTAAATTTGGAAGTAAATGAGGTGTTGAAGGCATAACCCTAAACTGCCTTGCTCACTTGTTCAGATTCTTAGATCTTTTATGACTTTGTAACTATGGAAACTGAACTCAAATGATAACAACAGAGATGTCAGAAGACAAGGCAGTAAAAGGCCTCTGATGAGAATGACCAATGAAACTTTGAAAGAGCTGCTGAAGCCTCTGTAGTTAACCTACTGTGGAATCTCACTCAGGTATTCAGGCTGGTTTTACTCAAGCTGGAGAATAAAACCAAGGTGACTGAAAATAACTGGAGATGAGAGAAAAAGAACCAAACTGAACCTAGGAGTTTTATGTACCTTCAAGCAATGACTAGGTACCATTAAAAAGCAAGTCTATGTTGTCATGTATAACAAATTAGAACAAATAAAAAAGAAAAAATTTTTAAAGCAAGGCTGGCTGGCTACTGGGGAACAAAACTGACCAAATTATATTGTTATATTGTGTGCATGTATAAATACATAACAATGAATTCCACTACTATGCATAATTATAATATAATATATAATATAATAATAATATATTATAATTATGCATAGTAGTAGAAAAAGGGATTGGAGTTGTGGCTCAGTGGTAGAGTGCTCGCCTAGCTCGTACAAGGTGCTGAATTCGATACTCAGCACCACATAAAAACAAATAAATAAAATAAAGTTATTGTGTCCAACTATAACTAGTATATATATATATATATATATATATATATATTTTTTTTTTTTAAATAGGAAAAAAAGGGCTAAAGTTATAGTTCATGGTAAAGTACTTGCCTAGTATGTGCAAGGTCCTGGGTTCAAACCTTCACATTGCAAAAATAGAAAAGAGGCCCTAAGCAACTTAGTGAGACCCTATTTCAAGATAAAAAATAAGGGCTGGGGGTATGCCTGCGGGTGTGGTTGAGTGGTCAAATGCCCCTGGGTTCAATCCCTAGTACCAGGGGGGAAAAAAAGGGGGCAAGAAAGAAAGCTAGCCTGATTTTCCCTAAGTATGACCCATAGACTACTAGCTACCCAGGCGTTAGAAGTTATTATGTGGGGTTTGTTTTTTGTTTGTTTGTTTGTTTGTACTTGTATAGGACTTTGTGCATGCAAGGCAAGCACTCTACCAACTGAGCTATATCCCCTAGAAGTTATTATGTGGAAAAGAAGTATCCCGGGCTGGGGATGTGGCTCAAGTGGTGGTGCCCTCGCCTGGCATGCGTGCGGCCCGGGTTCGATCTTCAGCACCACATACAAACGAAGATGCTGTGTCTGCCGAAAACTAAAAAATAAATACTAAAAAATTCTCTCTCTCAAAAAAAAAAAAAAAAGAAAGAAAGAAGTATCCCCACCCATTAAGTTTAGGAAACTATATTAAAAAGAATTGGAAAGAGTTTTCCTTCCTGTCCACGTGCTTGTAGCATTTACTAATACTAATGTGCACTGGAAATATCTAAGAAAAAAATCTAGCAAAAAGTATTTCCAAATTCACTTGACCACACACCTTTCTCCAGTGAAGCCTTGTGTAGGATAGGGCCCCGTAACATGCACCCTGAGAAATCCCTTGTTGAAGCCTGTTCCTTCTCCAAACTGAAGGCTTGAGCTGTGTCTGATTACACAGAAATATTCTAAAAACAATTTATTTTCTTTTTTTTTTAATATTTTCTTTAGTTGTAGATGAACACAATATCTTATTTTACTTATTTTTATGGGGTGCTGAGGATCGAACCCAGAGCCTCACACATGCTAGACAAGTGTTCTACCACTAAGCTACAGCCCCAGCCCCTCTAAAAACAATTTCTATGTCACTTTTAAGGGAAAACTGAGAGGACAGGCTGCCTATGCTCCCTCTGACTCACAGCCATACCTTCAGGATGCCATACCCTCAGAAGGCAGAGCAACCGAACAGCAGAGAATCCCCAGATTAGCCCTGAGAGCCAACCATAGTAATGGATAGAGTGGGTGGGGAGAGATAACAGATTCCTCCTCTTACCTGGGGTTCAAGGGCTCCTCCCTGGGAGTTGCTCGGGGCGGGGCTGGGGGCCTCCCAGTTGGCGGTGGTTTCTCTGGCTCTTCAAATAACTTGGACAACGGGCTGGAGCCTTCTGTGGAGGCTGGCTTGCGGCTCCCTGACCTGCCAGGGAGAGATGAGTGGGGCCCTCCAGCAGCCCCCAGATACCCCCTCAGGTGACACCCAACATAGTCCTAGCTCACCTGGATTCTTGGCTGCCTCGGGACACAGACGGGCCTTTGCTCTTTGCTCCAGCCTCATCCTTATCAATGCTGATCCACTCTGAGGGTATAGGGAAGGGAGGCTCAGAGGGGATCTGGGATCCTAGATCCCAGAAAAACCATCTAGGTCTGCCAGCCCCTTCCAGCAGGACCACTCCCATGACTGTAGAACCTCAAGCATCCCAGGATTCCACCCACCCTGGGTCCTCCCCTCCTACACCTGCCCACACCCTTCCCAATGGAACCCCCACCGTAGAGCCGCTCACGGGTGCCCAGGCGTTCCGTGGGCACCCGCACCTTCATGGAGCCACGGATATTGCCTGTCTCCTCGCCGCGATGGGACAGGAAGGTCAGAAACTGCTGGGCTGTGCTGCCAATCATGGATTTGAGTGCAACCACACATTCCCCTGAAGGGCAGACGGGACAGACCACAGATTATCAAAACTTTCTAGGGCCTGCCTGATTTCTTATATCCCTCAGCTACCCTGACTCCTCACCATAGGATTCATAGCCATCCATGGACTTGACTGTGAGCAGAAGGTGCTGGTCTTGCAGGTACTCAATGTCAGCCAGAATGGGCTTGAGCTGGGGAACAGAAAGGCTGGATATGGAACAAAGTCTCAACCACCCTTGGACCCCTCCCACATGCTGGCCCTGATACAACTCACCCCTGCCCTCAGGCTTATTCATGCTCACTCATATCTAGCTCTTAAGGAAAGCTCTCAGATCTGTAATGGGCCTTTCATCACTTAACATCACTGTATTAATTAATTTTCTGCATCCTCAACGGCCTGACATTTAGCAGAGTCTCAAGAACTGTTTATGGAACAAATGAATGAACAATCCACAACTTGGTTCTATAACCCTAGATAAAGCAAATGCTCTTATCCTCTCTTGCCCAGCCCCCCCCATGCACACTGCCAGCCCCAGCCTCCCTCCCAGGCAGCCTCCCCCAGGGTTCTGCCTCACTCTTCTCTGTGCCCTCGTCCACTGGCCTAGGCCCTGCCTGCAGCCTCACCGTGGGCAGCTGGCGTGAAGACCACTGCACTTTGAGGAAGTTGATGTTGTCACTGCTTTGGGCATCATTCTCAAAGCTCTTCTTGTACTCTGGGGTGGGAGTGGGGAAATCCAACTGAGAACCACCTTCCAGTTTCCCTTCCCCCCAAGCTGAAGGCAGGTCTGGGCAGCTCTGGCCTCCCATCCCTCTTGGCCTACACCCAGCCCTGGGCCCTGTCTCTGACCCTCGAGGCAAGTGGAATAGAACTCAATGAAGAACTTGGTGCGGCTGGCTGTCTTCACAATGGCCTCGATGCTCTCAAACTCAATGTAGGCCTGGTCTGAAGTCTTCGAGAGCCCTAGGGGACAAGGAAGTAATTGCAGACAGAAGGGCCAAGAGGGTATAAGAGGATCACAGAAAGAATGAGACAGAAAGGCTGAGCCCCGGAACAGGGAATTAGGGGCCTTGGCAGAGCAAGAGGCAAGGCCAATAGGTGCCTTTCAATCCTAACCTACCAAACAGACCCTGGACCCAAGCAAAAAGAACCAAAGGATGAAAAACTCCTGTCAAAGGCAGCTAGAGACAAGAATGCCTATGGGCTGGCTTGCCAACAAAATTTGCGGGCTCACATGTGACCCTGCAGATACAGACAAATGTGTATAACTGACCACTCAGGGCTGGCATCTCTCATGAGAACCTGGGCTCCTAGACACCCTCACATATCACCCATTCAGAAACACTCCTACACTCACATTTACACACAAACACACACATAGGCTTGTGTACAATCCATCTGCACACATCCCCAGGTCACTACCTTCACCCACCCAACATTGCCACATCTACAACCACATTCAGAATAGTCACCTTTCTTGGAGATGAACTGAGAGGTAACTCCAACCTCAAATGTCCCAAACACAGGGGAATGGTCGCTGGTGACAATGTCATCAGTGCAACCTGGGTGGGAGATTAGGAATGGGGACTCAAGGGAAACATCCCTACTCTCTGTTCCCACCTCCTGAAACTAGGGATGAGTCAGGACAGTGACCACCCAAGACCTCCCATCACCCTGTCTGGGAGGCTCTGACCATAGGAATTGCAGATGATGTGGGTTTCAGGGTAGGACTTCCATAGAATCCGGTCACACCATGAGGGAACGTTGGTCCGGACCTGGGGCAGGGGACAGTAGTGTAGTCAGAGATGACAGCTGGGAGTTTCTCAGCATGAGCTCCACTCAGAGCTGATGAGACCCCCCCATTTCTGTTACATTGGGTCCCACCTTCCTCCATGGATCCCCACAATACCTAGAAACACCCCCAAAGGCCTCAGGAAGGCCAGGTAAGCTGCAATGATAACTACAGAGGCCCAAGACCCTTGATCTCCCACGTGCTCCTGATTCACTGCAATCTTGGAGGGTCCTTGTGCCATTTTTTTTTTCACTCACTCCAGTTGGCTTTTGCTTGTGCCAGGCATATGTGTCCCGGGAACCCCGCTCATAGCGGTAAGTGGGTGGAAAAGAGATCTCCTCCTCACCTAAGGAAGCAGGGCACATGCGACTCAGGGCCCTGAAAACCCAGGAATGTCCCAAGCCCCCAGGTCTCCAGGCCCACCTACTGGATCCCTACTCACTGAACCGAAGGAAAACCTTGTGCTTCTCCCGCTCCAAGTTGAGCTGGTCTACCCGGAGCAGAGGCTCAAACTCTTTCCTGCTGATGTAGTTCAGTATCTCCTGGGGTGGGGGACAGAGAGGCTGAAGGTATGTCTCTTGAGCAGAGCTGGTGACAGCTCTCAAGTCCCTAGCCTCCCTACAGCCATAGGCAGGGCCCCTGCTGGAACCTGGATATCCATGTCCAGGCGATAGTTGAGGTCCCCAAACCAGAAGAGGTGAGTGAAACGCAGAGAGATGTCAAATGCACTGAGCTGCCGGTCACCCAGCGAGAGCAGCCTCAGGATGTCCAGATAGTTCTGGTTCCGCCTATAGTAAGGAGCCAGGATCAGGTCCCCAGGGTCAGGAATGAGAGATGGGCATAAAGGCAGGAAGACTCTGGGGTCAGGGATACCATAGGGATCAATTCCCTGGGGCCAGAGGGAGAAGCTAAGTATAAGGTCAGTTTTAGGAGAAGACCAGGAAGTCTTCAGCTGGGGTACAGGAGAAGGGGGTCTCTGGGGATAGGGATGTGGGAGAAGGAAAGAGTTTCATGTGACTAGAGGATGTAGGCAAGACTATGGGGAAGCTGTTACATGGGGCCCACCTCCCTCAAGAGTATAGGGAGGGTGCCCTCACCGGGCAGTCTTCTCATTTCCTGAGGTGAGATGGCAATTCACAAAGCCAAATGAGGTGCCATTGAACATGAAGGAGACACCCACGGCTCCCTTGTTCCCTGTGAGGGAAACGGAAGAGGAAGGCCTGATCACCCACAGAGGACTACCAACTCTCCCCTCTATCCCTCAAAAGCAGCAATGAGAGGATGCTTCCTACCCCAATCCTCAGGTGCTGTGAGGCAGACAGCCCCTGAACACACACCCACACCTTCCCTGGGGATCCTTCTCGGGGGCCTGCAGTCTATCTGGATAGCCTTACTCTGTCTGTGTGAGCAGAGCCCCTGGAATCACAAGAGATCCCGAGAGTGCAACAGAAAGGTCCTGTAGGTTCTCAGAAGAATCTATCTTGCAAGAGCCCTGGACTGCTAATCAGAAGACCTGAGCACTATGCCTAGCTCCCCTACTTATTTGCTGAGTGACCTTGAAATTCAACCACTGTGGGTTTGAATTTTATCATCTATGAAATGGGGATAATTATCCTGATCTTGCCTTCCTTGTGGGGCTGGAAGAGATTTTAAATATGAATATGCTTTACAAAGTTCAAAGCACCCTATAAATGAGGAAGCTGAGACTACCAAAAAGCGGGAGACTCTGGGCTGGAGAGGAGGCAGGAAGCATGAACATAGGGACCCCACCACTTCAGGAACCTGCCTGCCCTGCTCACCCAGGGTGTTGGCGATGCCAGTTTTCACACTGGATGTACTGACATGGCTGATGCGGTTCTCATGCTCTGGCTTGACGAGCACAGCCACCTTGATGTTCCACAGCGACTGCATGGCAATCTAGGTAGAGGGTGTGGAGTCACCCTTATCCTGGGCTGGGACCCTGTCCACATTCCCCCTGCCCTGGCATCTTGTCAGTCATGGGAAAGAAAGACCTCCTACCCCTTTTCCTGAAGGACCAAAGAGAAATGGGCCTCCCGTGACATGAAGGACTCATATGAGACCTCCCAAAGGATATGCCCAAGGCCAGAGGAAAAATCAGAGAGCTGCATTCCCCAGGGTGCCCATGAAGTCAAGCAGGAAAAGTCTGGGGTGGTTTATGAAGACAGGGGACTAACAAGATAACCCCCTCACCGGGCGGTAATCCAAATCTGTAAGCTCCTTGAGGCCCCCACGCAGCAGGTCCAGCCACTCTCGGTCACCCACTGAGTTCTCCTGGGTCCCAAAGACATAGATGTCATGGGGTATGGTCACTGTGACCTCATCTAAGGTCTTCCCCAGACCCTTTGATGTGAACCAAGATGTCACATTTTTTGGAGGTGGCACACTTCCTGAAGATGGAGGGGATGAGGCAGTGGGTGGGAGGGTCAGGCCCCTGCCCTGGGGCCATTCCCCTCTCCCATCCCAGTCCCAGCCTGGGCCTGACCCATATTCCAGGTGCCTATGAAGACAGAGATCATATCAGGCTCGTCTTGCTTGGAGTGCTTATTCTTCATGAGCTGCAGCAGCTGGCAGAAGGCTTCTCGCTTCTGGGGGAACAGTAGTTAGTCAAGGGCAAATAGGCAGCCAGGAACCCCCTTCCCACAAGGATACTCCACTAGATGGTAAATACCATGAGAAGGTCATTGTCTGGTTGCCCACTGTACATCCACTGCTCAAGAATGTAACAGGTGCTAAGTAAATGTTCACTGAATATTTGAATCATCCCTCAGGCCACCTATTCTTAATAACCTCTCTACTGTGTCAGGCCCACCCCTGCCAGGAGGGATGACATGCCCACACCATGTGTTCCCTCTCTTCCTACCCAATGGGAGACACCCATCTGGAGACCCCAGCATCCCTCAGTGTACTGGCCCTGCCTGCCACTCACCCGGGCACTGACGAAAATGAAGTCCTTGCGCTGGGTCCGGTCCTTCTCCTTTTCAAACACAACACCCAGCTTGTTCTGGACACGCTGGGACTTAATGAGCTGGCGGACTAGGAGACAAGACAGGTCACACAAGCCTGTGCCCTCCAGGCCAAGGGCCTCACCCTACCCATCTCTCCCAGGTCTTGCCCTGGCTCACTTCGGTCATGTGTGAAGGTCGTCCAGTCCTCCTGGGAGTCCCGCTGTCTCCGAAGCAGCACTAGCCGCCCACCTTCCACATCCACGCTTAGTGTAAACTTCTGTGACTTTCCAATCTTGGTCAGGTCACCCAAGGTAACATCCAGCTTCACCTGCAAGACAAGAAATAGAGAGGCTGCTGATAAGATTTTGAGGAAGGCACCATCTCCTTCACCTTCAACTGTCCCTTGACCCATGAGGCCCCCCACCTGCCATGTACCTCAAAGGCCTGCACAGGTATGGTCTTGGCCTTACGTATAGATGGCTGCAGCGAAACTGGAGGTGCTGTGGAACTCATGTCCTGTAGTGCCTTCAGGGCCTGGAGGCGCCAAGGGCAAGGTGAGGTTGGGGGCATACTCAGGGCTAAGGCAGAGAGGGGTATGGCTGATGTTGGGGTCAGGGCTAAGTTATAGCTTCAAAGTTGAGATCGAGGCTCAGCCAAGGAGAGTGGTCAGCAACTCAAAGGTCAGGGAGTAGAGGGGAATCAGTCTACCTTCTTCTGGATGCCTGACAGGAAGTCCTTTAGCACTGACAACTTCAGTACCAGGTTCTCTAGTTCCTGTTCCCCAGTCTGTGATGGGTTCTGCTGGGAAAAAGAATAAGGCTTGTAGATGAAGCCCTTTAGGCTGAAGCCCCCAATCAACTCCAGAACTGAGCCCAGCTCCCAGGGCCTCCCTACAATCTCACCTGCTGCTGTAAAAGGCGAGTCACCATGGGCGAGCTCTGCTGGTCAAACACCTTGGACAGGATCTCCAGACCCGACAGGACCTTGTCCACCTCACTAGGGGAAACACCATTTTAGAATTCCCCACCCCAAGCTAAAGCTCATGGAAGCTGAGGGTGGTGCTTTCTCCTTCAGCTTGAGGACATAAGGGGATAGGTGAGGAAATCAGGGGACAGTGGCTGGTTCACTGTTAAGGGTAAGAGTGTGGTGCAGATGATCAGATGTGCAGTACCTGTGCAGTCTCCGGCAGGAGGTGGCAAGAGTGCGGGTGAGGTGGGGCAGGTTGCTGGCTCCTCCGCGCACAGCCTCCAGGTCCAGCCCGTAGCTGCCCTTCAGATACTCATGGGAAATGGTGCTCAGCCCATTGGGAGCGCTTCAGGGAGAAGTTAAAAGTTGGTAGAGGTCCTGCTGACACTGTTCCAGCTACCCTACACCTTGTCCCTACAGAAGGTGGTACTAGTGGCAGAATAGAACAGGACAGGGCTGAGATGGGTGCCCCAGGGGGCTCAGGTGGTCTTCTCACCTCTCATGAAAGAGAAAGATCTTCCTGCAGAGAAGTTATGTGTGGGGGGTGGGGCAACTCACCTCTCAGCAGCTGGAGTTGTGGGAGTCTCAGGGACTGGCAGGGGGCTGGTAGGTCCCGTGGGGGCAGAAATGCTGGTAGAGCCAGAGCGCGGGGGCAGTGGGGGCTTTTCATCCTCCCCATCTATGGGACAGAGGTCAATGGAGGAGCAGTTTGGGCCTTTGTCCCTCAGTGGTATAAGGCAGGGAGGAAGCCATAGCTGTCAGAGACATTTCATTTCATGAAAATGAAAAGGGGGTAAAGGGAAGTGCAAAACAATTACGAGAAAGGAAAGAGAGGGTTGCAAAGCGGGGATGCAAAGAACCAGGTAGAGTCAGGGAGGAGACAAGGAAGGGATGTGCACACTGCACAGGAGGCTGTACCTGAGACATCACGGTCATCCGGTGGGTCTGGCTCTCTCTCTCCCTCTACAGGCAGCAGTAGGGCACACACCAGGCCCTGATTGGGCTGGGCATACAAGCCAATGAGCTCGCCCAGGGTCTGGAAGCGGCGCACAGGCACACCCTGTGAAGTCTACAGGCCAAAAAGGATGAGAGATAGGGTCAGCCAGCAGGTCCCCAAGCCACAGGAAGGATCAAGGTCAGGAGTCAGGGGTCCGAGCTCCTACCTGCACAGCCAGGAAGTCTTCTCCATCAGGCAGGATGCGGTATGTGTGTACATGCTTCTGATACCTGATGGCAAGGCAAAAATCAGAACCTGAAATCCCCCAGTTGGAGTCTAATCCCAAAGCATCCCTTACTAGTCCCCCTGCTCCCTAAATGTGGTTTCCTCTAAAACCACTTGCTCAGGCTGCATAGGGTTAATGATGGGGCCAATCTACTTCCACCCTCCTAGTGCTGCCAACAAGAACTGAAATGACCAAGTCCCCCTTCCCCCCAAAAACCTACATACTCCACACCCACCACAAGGCCTGGGAAGCAACAGGCAACTCTCTTGTGGACTCCACAGCTGTCTAAACAGCCCCTCTGGACTGTAGCACCAGTCTGGGCCCCCCGCCAGAGTAAGAGTCCTCAGAAGCCTAGTTAGCCTATGTGTGCAGGGCAATGTGCTAACACACGTGTGAGCCTCTGTCTGTGTTTATGTTGGTGTCTGGCTCTACTGGAGTCTGTGTGTCTACGACAGTTTCTCTGAAGAAGTACTGGAACACCACCCTAGAGCTTTTCCCTGTTCCCCAGACAACAGGTAACTGGGATAACCCAAGGGGGCCCCCTATGGGAGACCCAGCTTCTAGGAACCCCAAGGCAAGGAGGGGCAAGAGGGGTGCTGACAGATGGTAGCAGCAGCAGCTGAGCAGGTGACAGCTGAACCAGGCACATACTCACTGGGAGATGGAAAGCTGCCTTCTGCCTCCACACCTCAGAAGGCAACCAGGCCTATGCATGTGCGGGCAGGAAAGAGCTGTTGGCCCCAGAGAGAACCAAATGCCACAGGGCCATCCCTTTCCCCTAAGTCAGCACCTGTCAGGGGTTCTCCTGGCTGCTTGTGCTGTGTGTTAGTTTGCAGACTGCGGATCCATATTTATAACAATAATAGCAGGTATTATTATTAGCCACACTCTACAGATGAGAAAACTAAGGCTCAAAAAGGAAAAGTAATTTGCCTAAGCAAGTAAAAGGCAGAACTGGGATTTAAAATGAGAACAGAAGGAAGGGCCCATTTCCTGGCCTGCAGGTCAGACTGCCTGTAGCCCTCAGAGTAGGAGTGTGTCTTGAGTGTTATTTGTGTACATGTGGTATGTATATAGGTAAGCAAGTACGCATTTGTTTGGGAAGTCTAAGAAACCACCCATTTCTGATCCCTACCCAGTCTCCTGAGATTCAACGAGCAATCAGTCAGTTGGCAAAGCCAAAGCCCCCACACATAGACAGACCCCCACTCCACCCATTCTTTCCCCTGACAATGGAGCCAGGATTTTCTCCTTACTGGGACAATAATGTTCCTCACCCAAACACAAGCTCCAGCTGTCCTCTCCCACCCAACAGCTGACCCAGCACCTGCCTCCTTCCCTTCCCTAACAAGGGATATGCCTCAGAGGGGGCTGGGAGGCAGGACTGAGGGTATTCATGGGTCTAGGCTGTCCTTTAGTCTCCCTGTACTGAGCCTCAGACTTGAGGCAAAGCAGAGACTATAGGACCGCTCATCGGTCAAGTGCCTAGGTCAGAGTTTCTCGACCTCTGCACTACTGACATTTTGGACCACATAATCTTTAGAAGGCTGTTCTGGACACTGTCACATGTTCATCAGCACCTCTGGCTACTACCCACTAGGTGACTATAGCACCAAGCCTATTGTAACAAACAAACAAAAAAATGTCTCCCTTGGGGCTGGGGATGTGGCTCAAGCGGTAATGTGCTCGCTTGGCATTGGGTTCGATCCTCAGCACCACATACAATTAAAGATGTTGTGTGCGCCGAAAACTAAAATAAATAAATAAATAAATAAATATTTTTAAAATTCTCTCTCTTTAAAAAAAAAAAAAAATGCCTTCCCTGGTCTAAGTCAATGTGTCCTCCCCTGTCCCCACAAAGATGTCATAAGAACAAAAAGGAAAAGAAGGGACAAAGGGACAAGGGTAGGGGGCTCATAGGGCCAAGGAAGAACATAACTAGATCTAAACTAAACGGTCCTCACAGTTTCCCAGTCATTACTTCTCACTCCAGAGGCCCACAGAAGTCCACTTAGTGTCATACTGTGGGTCAAGGAAAAAACTACAAAACTGAAAGTACAGACTCACCTCACCCTACTATTCACAGAGCTGACAGGTACAGCCACAGGACCAGGCCCACACAGAGAACTGCCAAGTCTAGTTCCACACACAGCACTCATGGCTTAGGGCTAGAGCTGCCAGATAACTGGGGCTCAAGCCCAGAGCCAGGCACACTTACTCATTGATTCATGAAATAATGGCACAGTCTCATAAAGCCTCATCCAGCTGCCTCACCAAGTCTTCTCAACACCAACCACATCATCACCCCCAGCCATACATAGCCCTCCAGAACCCAAGCTGTGCCTCTCTTGGGAGCACTGAAAGGACCCCTAAGGATGTTGCTAGACATCCTCACATACACCCTCATCAGTCCCTCTGTCCCTAAACTGCTGCTTCTGCCTAAACTCAATCCCTACACAAACAGATCTGCACACAACATGGACCCAAATCCTCACCTCTTCTACTTGGGCATGCCTGCAGGGGTCTGCCAAGGACCGTCTGCATTTTTCCCCCATCACAATCACCCTGGCCTGCAGAACCCCACATACTCTGACCTCAAAACCCCAGAAAGTTCCCTCACACACAGCAGGAAGGAAATGCCCCCTGTATCCTTCCTCAGCCCCAAGAGCCCTAGAATAAAGCCAAGGCCCCCCACTCTGGGGATGGAGGCGGGGCTGGTGTCCCACCACTCAATCACTAACCCCCTCCCCACTCAGGTCACACCGTCCGTATCCCAGATCCCCTCCCTGCCCCACTCACAGGACACAGAGTGCGAAGGCCCCCGCCACGCTCTCGCTGTCTCGGACCAGGAAGCTGCCATCGCGGCCCGCCCGGGCCAGCAGCTCCTCCGCTGCAGCGCGGCTCAGGTCGCGGTGGTACCAGGCAGGAGCCGGACTGCCCAGCGCGCCCCCGGACCCCGCGCTCCCCGGGCCGGGTGCCCCACACGCCGAAGCCATAGCCCGCGGAGGGCTCAGCACCGCCCGCGTCTGCCACCCCGCGCCATCCGCCCCGGGAAGCTCAGGGCAGACGCTGGGGCCGCGCCCGGGTCCCGGGCCTGAAGATCCGCGGGCCGGACAGAGCCAGATTTCAGGACTCCGCACTCCGCCGCGCAGGCCGCCAGATTCGCCGCGCAGCCGCCGCCGCCTGCAGCGCCGGCCTCAACTTGAAGAGAAAGAAAAGTTTGTTCAGAGACGGCGGGGGAGGGGCAGGAGCGGAGCAGCGAGTCCGGCGGCCAGCCCCCTCCCCCTCTGCTCGGCCCACTGCCCGGGCCGACCCTGCCCCCAATCTCTTCTCGAAGGGACGGTGCCTCCACAATCCCGCAGAACCTGCACCTCCCAAACCCCACAACGATCCTGCTCTTCCATCCCGAGGATATTCAGTCCCCAAGTACCCACCGAAGTCCAAGTCTCCCCCACTCTGCTCCCGGACACTAAGGAATCCAGCACCCCCCTGAAGAATTCAGCCCTCTCAATCCTCTCAAGGAGATGACCCTTAACCCCCATAAAAGTGATTTCACCCCAAATCCTTTTCACTGGGCGCCCTGAATCGGGGAGTATCGAGGTTCTCAAAGGAACGATCCAGGACGAGCCCACCACCCCATGATCCAAGTGAACAAGACACCCAGTTCCCGTTAAAACCAGCCCTCCCTTATATCTGAACCCCCAAAGTCCACTGTACCTGTCCGTCTACAAATCCCAAGGAGGAAGTCCCTTTCATAGAGATCCGATCCCCACAAACCCCGGGACGAAGACCAGCGTCTTCGAGCCCCCCCATGCGCGGCCCTCCTAGCCCGGCAAAGCCCTTCCCCCCTCTCGGCCAAGTTCCCTGGCACCACTCCCGGCACCCGCAGGCCGGCGTCTTGAGAGGACCCGCAGACCCAGACTAGGGGGATCCCCTTTCCATCTAGGACAAAGTTCCCTCAATCCACCGGCTTCGGGCCTCTCCCCAGAGGCCTCTCCGCCGCATGCAGACCCCCACCTCCGGGGCTGCTTGGGTGCCTCCTTGCCCCGGGAAGCAGCCCTGGACTCTAGG